GAAGCGTCTGCTAGTCGGCGCCTCACACAGCTTGCGTCTTATCTTAGATGGACGAGTCAGACACTCCTACAGCACGATGGCAGCAGCGAGAGTGGAGGGAGAGTATTGGTGGTAGGCAAGAGAAAGCTCTCGAGAATCATGGAAAGCGGCTCCGATTCCTCGAGGGAACACTGTGAGTCTTGTTACCCCACGGCTGGCCACTCTCATCAACATCAACAGTGTCGTTCGTCCTTGTAGACGGGACGCTCATACGCAGTGCGAGTCCATGAAGATCCTCGCGAAAAAGATGATACTCTACAAGAAGTGCATCGTCAACGCGAGAATAGTAGGCCCCCCAACACCCACGACCAGCCGTCCATCCTACTCACAGATCGTCGTTGGAGCTTCTGATACTGGCCTGTCAACCCTGTCATCGCTGATGTCGATGCCCAGGCTCCACTTTACCTCGCTCACGCTATTGGCACCCGGGGGGATCAGCTATTTCCTGGATGATGAGCTAGACCGTAGGCGTATGATGACGACTGCGTTGTGGCAGGCATCAGTTCCTCATAGCACTCACCGATCAAGAAGCCTCTCTGTCACGTCTGTTCAAGAGCCAGGCGTCCGAGAGAGGCCACACAGCGTCGCTCCGCCAAGTGAGGCGTTTGACTGCCACTACTGGCGCGTGAGGATCTCTATGTAACGGGCGTCCGTGGAGCATGCAGGCTTTCCCAGATTCTCCCCTCGGGAGCTGCGCCGTCTCATGATGGACTCTCGTGTGCGCATACTAGATGCGAGGATGATATCCCTCAATCGAGGCGCGAAGACTATCTCTGTGGTGCCAAGTTGTGAGGACGGCTCGGAAGCAGAGGCTTCTGGAAGGCTTATCGAAGTTCCTTATGACTATCTGGTTCGAATGAGCTCGATGCAATGTGGCAGAGGATTGGCTTTAGGTCTTCACACCGGGTCTGCAAGATCGTGGTCTGCACTCTCTTAATATCCGCTCGATGGGAGTCGCCGACATACCATTGGGGTTTAGACACGTCAACGGCTGTAGATGATTCGGGCCCACCTTCTTACGAACAAACATTGTCGTTAGGTTTGTCATCCGCCGACAGCTCATGTGACAAGATTCTCGGAGATGGTTCTATCCTGCTCAAATCTCTGATATGGAATCCACTCAGCTACGCGGTTATCTACGGGAGAGCTCTCGATTCCTATTGCGCGGTGAGGGATGATCCGTCCTGAGCCGAGCTGGATACGTGCCTGATTCAGATTCAAGGTTTGCTCGGCAGACTTGTCCCTCCTAAGAAGATCGTGCTGGTCCTACCGCCCAGAAGAAGTAGTCACCTGTCCTGATCAGTGGCATTGGACTGTGGATGTCAGGTCGTGAGACTATCGCGGATGAGGACGAAGTACTGCCTGTGGACGCCTTTGAAGAAGGGGAGGCTGTTGAGCAGAAGTTGCACAGCGTTCTGGAGAGCATCGGAGTACTGCCACCTGCGTTGTAGGGGAGACCACAGCCGGAGGGAATAGGTACGGGTCCATAGTGACCTCACTCTGACAGGAGTGGAGCAAGACACCAGGCAACGGCTTAGTGCAGTCAGGCTCATCGGGTTACCTGCTGATACGGTGAGGGAAGCTTCGCTGGTGTTGGGCTGTCGAGCGATTGCTGCTTGTAGGATAAGTCCGAAGAGCCGCAGGGAACACGAGGAGGACCAGTATGTCCTCGCCTAGCTCTGTGTGCTCTGTACGTTGATACCAGGTACGAGGAATTCTGGAGAGGCTGTCGAAGACGAACACCTCAGAGGATCCAATACAGTAATCATCCAATCGTATGCGCCGAAAGCATCGGGGCCTGTGTCAGATACAAGATCACTTGCCGAGTTTTGCTCACAGCTGATGGTCACAGCGTGGACCCGAGAATATTCTCGTGCATTTACGCCAATGAGCTTGTGTAAGGGCTACGCAGTGGCAGTAGAGGGCGATTGACTGCATAGGTATGACGGACGTCTCATTGTGGACCACCTCTTCCGAACCATAGACGAAAATATCTTCGCTGCCGGCACTCTCTGTGAGTTCTCCCGTCGGTATGTAGAAGCTCAAGGTAGCGGCAGAGGGACGAGGAGTGAGTTGCCCGGTGCAGCTCAGAAGTGATGGAACGGCTCTCAGAATTCCATCAGAGTCTGCGCCTAGATGGCTACAATGGTCGTGAGGTTGGCGGCAGGCTAGCTGAGGCCATTGTCAAGTAAAATAATTTCCTCCTGCTTCGTCTCGTGATGTGTGATAGTTTTCTTGCTGGCGATGAAACTGTCCGTTTTTTCGAGAGTTTATCAGGTGCCTCGATCCTGAACGGTCTATGGCTGAAGCTTCGGGAGATGTTACTTTTGGTGAGGCTCAGGAAGATGAGAACTTGCAGTCATCGACAAGCGAGTCTATCGTAAACTTTCATTCCCTCGCGACTAATACCTCATTGGTTTCAGAACCACCTTTTGCCAGAATTCTCGCATCCTCATGTCTCTACCGGACTACTGCCCGGCTTATTCCACTACTACAGATTAGTATGTCCCAGCGATGAGGATTATAGGAAAATCCCAGCGGGCAGGGGATAGAGGCGACCTATTGGAAGGTGTTGAACTTAGCTGCTCAGATACTATCGTCACCGACGATCTAGATCAATCACTGGGAACAGGGCACTTCTGTGAAATGAAGGTTGATAAGTTGGGGAAGATATCAGGATTGACGTACTTCCATGTGGGAGATCCGATAACGTCGTGATTGCGTATTGACCAGATATCTGGGGGGAGAGCCGCTGGAGCTGCATAACTTGCACGCGTTGCTTGGCATGCCAGTCGCCTATCTCAATGACATGTGATAAGAATCGCTGATGTTAGCCTTACTACCTTGCAGTCTGACATAGATCCAAGAAGTGCTCCGATGGGCAGACCAAAGCGATTATCGAGTACCTCGAAGATAGTTGGGCGAAGGCGTTGTTCCACGAGAGGTACTGTAGGTCAGTGCTCAATTGAGCAACAACCGTCTTTCCATTTGACATGATGCCGGCTGCGCACTCTAGTGGTGTAACAGCATCTTCATCACCGTGTGTGGTAATGCCTCGAATCTTTCTGCTAAAACCTCAGATTCACGTCTTTCACCGCTTCTCTGACAAAGAGCGGGAAAACAGAACTCCTTTCGACCGTTAGAACTATATTGGGTAGCGGTGATGATGAAAGGTCACTGAAGGAACTGAGCGTGACAGACGAAGTAGCTGCTGGCAACACACTGTACTAACCTACGAATGCTTATCAGCTCGTCTCTCAACTGGAGGAGAGGTTACCATCATCTTGGAAGGAATCGTTGAAGGATCGCCTAGTCGCGTATATACGAGAGAACGAGGACCACCTGCCGTAAGTCGAGTAGGTCGTAGTAGTGGAGGAGATTTTATCCATGCAGAGATTACTTTTTCCCCGAGGAATGGGCAACCCTTGCAGACGAAGCACCTGTGGGACGTGACGCTGGATCATGAGTGCTGTAAATTGGAGTCATGGATGTTGGATATCCATTATAGATTGGTTGCGTTGTCAGTGGCTCTTAACATTGTGGAGCTTCGGAACTGAATTCTGCGATTAACCGTAGGTAGAAAATTTTTACCCGAGAATCTTACCGAGATATCGAGTCAAGAAGTTGTTGTCCT